GATTCACACACACACCACACACACAGTCACACATGCACATATTACTCACGAGCACGCATCGCACGCCGACGGCACGCACTCGCCACGACGCACGCACACACACACACATACATGTACACACCACACGCACACACACACCATGCAGAGCAGCCGACGCACACAACGACGCACGCACGCACGCACCGCACCAGCATGCTGCGCACGTGCGGCTCTCCAGCGCATGAAAATTACGCAATTCCAGGCAAGGCGGTGGATGGAGCTTCTATATATGCGAAAAGCTATCAGTCCTTTGTTCGGCAGTCACAAAGCATATCCATGTGTTAGAGCCTCATCTTGAGGGTCAAAAGGTTTATCGACACTTTACTCTTGCACCGCGCGGAAGAGATATCATGGTTCCTTCATTAAAAGGGATAAATAAGCGTACTAGGTCAGTGCATGAAACAAAAAGTTTTGCACTCGGTGCCGTTACAGACAATGTCCTCAGAATAAATGTCTGATATCTGACGCTTCGCCCCGACTGCCCCTTTGACCTCCCAATTTCGCGTGCTGATGGGGTTCCTCCCATCACATTATAATCAATGATATTAAGAGCGTAGGTCAACGGCCGTTGAGACTTTGTGCCAGGCAAATTTCCGTATTTTCAGTCATATCCTTAAGTTATAAGGGAAATATTCGACCCTCCATTTAGCACATTGTGAACTCTTGACATTGACCGCCACCAAATTCGGCATCCTGAGTCGCTTTTCGCATCCGCCCCCCCAACGTCCCGAATACTCAAAACCGTACGTCGAGCGTTAAGAATTTGTGCCAACCTGTTGGACACACGGACGGATCGCACGCACGCATACGGACTATTTACTGGCGATTCTAAAGCTGCATCCTGGACTTCGTCAGCTGAGTTAATAAACCCACGTGTTGGTTGGTTTCAATCACTATTCAACACCCGCACGGCAGCGGTGGTTACCTCGATGGGCCCGATGGCCATGTCTATGCTCATCTCTCGCTCGCGGATCTCCTTCAGGGCGGCCATCGCCAGTCTGATGTCATCAAGGTCGTTTGACGGAGTCGCGCGGCAGCCTCTGGCCCCATGCGTCGTAGTGAAAGCGAGCGGATCTGACATCTCGCGTGGTACTGTGTCGGCGCAAGCTGCGCGCCATAAGTGATTCATAACCAAGCTCGCGTTCTTCGTCAGTTCCCAGCTTCAGGGTCTCTGCAAGGCAGCAGTAAGAGTAGAGACGATGGTCTCACTACTACGACGATAATGGGAATGAACTATTAATCAGAAACAGCCATGGCAGTGTAGGAAGCTTAGGCGGCAGTTTCAATAATGAACAAGATGAAAAATTTACAATGAAATTATCATGTTGTTTTAATTATTAAAATTAAAATTAATGATGAATGCTAATGAATGATCGCATGCTTCATAAATTATAAGTTACGCATGTGTAGTTGTGTGTGCTGTGTGTGTGTTTGTGTGTGTGTGTGTGTGTGTGTGTGCCGTGCGTGCGTGGCTGCGTGCGTGCGTGCGGCATGCTGTGCAAGATTGTCAATTGGCTTACCACACACTATTACATAATAGGTAGAAAAGATTATAGAAAATTATAATTTATTCTAACATTCCTACATACAGTTGTCGAACCATATTCTTACCTGTGTAGCAGCGGCATTGGTCCACAGTAACGTGCTCGGCTCTGATTGGAACCTGGCTTCCAGCTCCGCCCATCAGCGTATCTTTTGCCAAATCAGCCAGGCTAGGCGTCTGCTGTAAGAATGGCCCTCAGCTCGAGGTCTCTGTTCTAGCCGCCACAGCACGGTGGTACTGATCAAACCTCTCGATACCCACAGTCAACGCTCCCTGCAACAAACTGAACGTCTGGCCTAGTTAGTCTAGGTAGACGGTTTCTAGAACCGCTGTTATAGGGCATGAAACCCACACTCAAGTGTATACACCCCCTATGCATCAGGCCCGATTTAGGAATGGGCAGAGTGGCAGCGTGCTCACTGGCCCTGCACACAAACCAGGGCCTCCCCATTTCGGTCATTTGCATTTTTTTTTAAATTTTTTAACAACGTTCCGCGATCGTCGTGGGAACAATCAAAACCATCGCGATCCACAAAATGATCGGCTGCCCACGGCCCCACATGTCTAAATGGGGGGGGGGGGGCGGCCTGCTATGCATGCATGGTTACACGTAAGGAGCGTTATGTAACTACGTTCTATATCCGCGCATACTCACCATACAACCTATGCACGCAAACGCACACCCACAAACACACACACAACGACGCGCGCGGAGCGCACAGCAACATAGAGCACGAACGAAGCGCGTACACCACGCCGCAAGCAGACGCGATGGCATTCAACACACTACGCACGCACACAGCACTAGTGACACATATCCCACTACGCACACGACACCCACCCTTCACTCCGAGCACGCCTACCGCACGAGCAGCGCCGTACACGACGCCACACACACCCATCCTTCGCTCCCACGCACACTACCCAGGACAGCCCGTACACGACACACACACACGGCCCATCCTGCTCGACCTACGCACCTAACCCACGGACACCCATATTACTGGCATCGCCAGAAGCACGTTTTGATGACCGATCGACTTCAGCGTTTTGCCGCGAGGTGACGCACACCCGGCCGCTGCGAGATGAAGCTATGGCAATGTCCTTTCCTGGCGTGCACGAGCTTGTAAGAACGACTCCGGCGTCGCCCACAGTCTGCGAACGCCACGCCTCCCTGCTTCCATCTTACTCGCGCCGCTTAACAACGGGCGTGACGGCGTCGCTGGTGTCGCCGCCTCCTGCCCCCCGCCCCGCTCTCGCTCTCTCGCCGCGTCTGAACTGCATTCGTGAAGAAACTTCAAGTGCGGATTTTGTGGAACACTGCGCGAACTGCCGATAGTGCCTGCCGATTCCATGCCGATGCAATGCATCGTTGGAACCGAGGCATCTTAGATGGAGATTTAACAATCAGATATTTTTTTAAGAGGAATTAACAGAGATAGACGCAGACTGACATTAAAACGGATATATACAAAGATTAAGGCGTTGTTTACACTAGGATAGATAGAGCATAATTACAACGATTTTTCCCAGCGCACAGACTACGCACGCAACACATACACATCGCGCACACAATACACACCACAGGCGCACACGGCAAGCACGCAGCGGCACGACATGCAGCTATCTTCGCTCCGTCTTCTCGCGACTCCACACGCTGACGACTTTGGTGACGTTTGACGCATGAGATGGCGACGCGGCTGAGGGCCTGCTGTATGTCCCTAGAGATCGGCTGAAGCACGATGCTCGGGATGGCTAGCAACCCAGGTCACTCTGAACAGAACGTGAGACTTCGCTGGCTCTCTGCCCAAACTACGAAAGGTGTATCGATTGGAAATATTACTAACGAAAACCACTTACTACGTGAGACTCAGCTGGGCTCTCTGCCAACTAGAAAGTTGATGGTGAAATACTAACAAAACACTTACGATGTCCAACGTACAACAATCTATGCACCTCAGAGTGTCTTGAAACCGAGTAACTGCTAGAGGGAATTCTGCAGCAAACAGCGAGAGTTTGATCGGTGAATCTAACAAAAACTTACGGACCCAGTGTCCGCAGTAGCGGAACCGCAGCAGATGGAGTTGGCAACAGACCAAACAATGGTGGGTTTGTTATTATAATCGGAGTCATTGATATATGGATTATAATTATGGATAATAATGTATAAATTGATAGACTAGAGCACTCGGAGAGGCAGAACCTCCGCCAAGAGCAGCTGAACTCTCTCACTGAAAAAATTTTAATTAATTAATTAATAATTAAAAAATAATTGGATCGCGGATGCACAGCAAAATGTAATCAATCTAAGTACCCATCTGACGCTACCTCACAATGAAAATTTTATAGAAACACTCCCGCGTCCATACATATTTACATAGTTATGGCTGTACACAAAGAACGGTTTACAAAAACCAACAAACGCACGGCGATGAATACAATAATCACTGCCTAACTCCTTGGCGAGGTAAACAGTTGTGGATTTCTATAAATTATGTCTTATAGATATATTAAATTCTTCTGAAACAAGCAACTGCGGAAGAGGCGTGGAATTCACCGTTATGGTAGAGTTGCAATGGCGGTGCAATGAAGACTTGCGGATGGTCTGCTAATTGGGTCTGCAACGCGCAGGCAGATAATCGCTTCCAGTGTTCGGGAGAGTAAGTGCTGGTCGAGGTCTCTCGTGGCTCCTCAGACTATTCCATACGTGCAGAGCTGGTGGAGAGAGAAGCACAACGAGACTCATTCTGCTTTTAAAACGTGAAATAACGACGGAATCCGAATATAATGATTTACATGCTTTTTTTCAGGGTACAGTATCACAATTATCTTTCATCGTCGTACAGCTCGTTATTTTTTTCTTCTCCTTTCAGCCAGAACTGTTTTTTTTTGGCTCGTTTTTTTTAAAACAGTCTCGCCGTCCACGTCGCCTATCTTCGCTGACAGTGCTCTCCTCGGCACAAATGCCAACATTATGCACTGCGGCACTAAGATAGAGAAAGCTTGTTACAGTACACAAAGCAACAAGACAGTTTTAGTGGACCCGATTGGCCATAACGCACCGGCTATAGTTTGATGAGAAATAATAAGATTAGCTGCAGTACTTGTGTTAGCTATACCTAGGTTCGTTTCCTACCTATACCATAACAGCTAGTCAACTTAAGTACTGGCGTTGCATTACCCTTGGTTGTTTAGCTGACGCCCAGGCGTGGAATGCAGATAGGCGCTGGAGACGTAGAAGCAGGTCGTGGATCGCGCACACACCCGGTCGCTAGCTGTAAGCGATGACGACGATATGCATTATATAGGGTGTCGTATAGTATCCTTATGTATTATTGTGTGTATGATCTTATGATTATGTGTTTTTTGTGTGATATTTATATAGGATTTATGAGATTTATGAGCTTCCTCGAGAGCTACAACCGAGAGGCTGCGACTCCTCTCGCGCGATCACCGTCTTACCATAAAAGAGCCGCAACGAACAAAAGACATACAAGCGTATAACGAGACTATGGTAAGCGATAGAAAATAAAAACGTAATGAGAATGTGTACAGGAATAGCCGACTTACATCTGTACCCGGGCCCAGCTGCTGTGGGGCGGCTCGAGTGGAAGTAGGATTGTTGTCTGATCGGGGCGAACAGTAGGCGAAAATAGCTCCTTTACAGGCATTCTCACCGCCTGGCTTCGTACTCTAGCAAGCTGAGCTTCCTCGTAGCACAGAGTTCTCTGCAATAAAAACCCCGCCCGATAAGATTTAGAGTCCCCCGCCATAGGTAATCGCTGATAGGATAGTGTTAAATCGGGTGGTAGAGGGGCAGAGGACGGATGGCTAGATGAATGGAGAAGAATTGATGAACAGCGTATTAAAGTGAGCAGAGCGACAGGCTAGTTAGACAGATCACAAATAGGATGTTGGGACAGAACGAGACTGGATGATCAGATAAGACTTGGGATGGGTTCCAAGCGAAATACATAGTACTAAACCACCCAGGTCTTGTAGACTTGACCCAATGACAACGTCTTTCGCTGTGTAGGCGCGACCCACTACACGTCTTTACCTGTGTACGCACGACCCCCCCGACACGGGTCTTTACCTGTGTAGCTACGACCCACGCAGTTTTACCTGTGTAGCGTGACCCACGACACGCTTTACCTGTGTACTCACGAACCACGGACACGTCTTTACATGTGTAACGCGCGACACGTCTTTACCTGTGTACGCACGACACGTTTTACTGTGTCCGCCGCGGACCGCAATGACACGTTTTCCTGTGTACGCAGCGACACGTCTTACCTGTGTACGGCGGACCTCACGCACGGGTCTTTACCTGTGTACTGCGCGACGCCACGACACGTCTTTCCGCGATGTGTACGCACGACGCGCACGACACGTCTTTAACTGTGTAACGCGCGACCCCCCGCACGTCCTTTACCTGTGTAGGCGGTGACCACGCACACGTCTTTACGTGTGTACCGCACGACCCACGGACAGCGGTCCTTTACATGTGTACCGCGCGGACAACGTCTTTTACCTGTGTCGCACTGACACGTCTGTTTACCTGTGTCGCGCGACCATGACACGGTCTTTACCTGTGTACGCGACGACACGTTCATTTGTAACCTGTGTACGCGACCCAGACACGTCTTAGCTGTGTACGCACGACATCGTCTTTACCTGTGTACAGCGCGAGCGCACGACACGTCTTTACCTGGTACGACGACCCACGATCACGTCTTTACCTGTGTAACGCGCGACCCACGACACGTCTTTCCTGGTGGTACGCACGAACCCACGACAGCGTCTTTCCTGTGTAGCCCGACCACGACACGTCTTACCTGTGTACGGCGCGACGCCACGACACGTCTTTACTTGTGTACGCATCCGACCCACGACACTCTTTAACCTGTGTCGCGTCGATCCGCACGACACATTTTACCGTGTGTAGCTTCAGCGACCACGACACTCTTAACCTGTGTACGCGCGACCCACGACACGTCTTTTACCTGTGTACGCACGACCATGACACGTCTTTTACCTGTGTACGCGCGACCACGACACGTGCTGTTACCTGTGTAGGCGCGACCAGACAGTCTTCCTGTGCTAGGTGCGACGCCATGACCGTCTTATACTGTGTGCGCTGCGACGGACATGGAAACGTCTTTACCTGTGTAACGCGCGACCACGACAGTCTTTACCTGTGTACGCGCCACCCCAGACACGTCTTACCTGTGTACTCGCAGACCACGACACGTTTTACCTGTTACTGCGCGACCGCACCGACACGTCTTTTACTCTGTGTAGGTGGGAACCATGACACGTCCTACCTGTGTGCCGCGGACCCATGACACGTCTTTACCTGTGTACGCGCGACCGCACGACACGTCTTTACCTGTGTCACGCAGCGACCCACGACAGCGTCTTTACCTGTGTAGCGGCGCACACCCACGACACGTCTTTACTGTGTACGCGCGACGAGCCACGAAACGTCTTTACCTGTGTTCGCTCGCGATCCACGGACACGTCTTTACCTGTGTACGCGGACACGACACGTCTTTAACCTGTGTGCGCGCGACTCACGGACACGTTTTATACCTGGTGTTCGCGCGATCCACAGACAGCGTCTTTACCTGTGTAGCGCGCGACCACGACACGTCTTTACTTGTTGTAGGCGCGACCCACGACTCTTTACTGTGTACGCGCGCGACCCACGGACACCGTCTTTACCGTGTAACGCGCGACCCACGACACGTTTTTACACTGTGTACGCGCGACCCGACGACACGTCTTTACTGTGATACTGCGCGACGAGCTCGCTGACCGAGGCACCGCTTCGTCCTGAGGCAGCTCTAGCAGGGCGTGAGTGATGAGCCGGTGCCAGCCGCCCTGATTCTGAACTCGGTAGCATGTGTTCAACATCGTCCGGGCGTCTAGCGCGCAACTTCTGCAAGCTCTGCTTCACGACTGGACGCCGACGCAATCGCTGTTCACTGCGAAGCGCTGACTCGCGAAGGAATCTCGAGTCGAATCCGCGTATGTGGTGACTTCTAAGATTGAATTATATGTACGTGTGTGTGTGTGTGTGTGTGTGTGTGTGTGTGTGTGTGTGTGTGTGTGCGTGCGTGCGTGCGTGCGTGCGTGCGTGCATGCCTGTGCAGATGGTCAATTGCTTACCACACACTATTACATAATAGGTAAAAAGATTATAAAAATATAATTTATTCTACATTCCTACATACAGTTCGACCATATTTCTTACCTGTGTACAGCGCGATTGGTCCAACATCAACGTGCTCGGGCTCTGATTGAATCCTGGCTTCCAGCTCCGCCCACTCCCGTATCTTTTGCTCAAACTCAGCCAGGCTAGGCGTCTGCTGTAGGAATGCCTCCAGCTCGAGGTCTCTGTCTAGCCGCCACACACGGTGGTACTGATCAAACCTCTCGATACCCACAGTAACCTCCTGCAAAAACGCACGTCTGCCAGTTAGCTAGTAGAGGTTTGCTAGACGCATGTTATAGCTGCATGAACACCCACACTCAAGTGTATACACCCACCTATGCATCAGCCCCGATTTAGGAATGGGCAGAGTGGGCAGCTGCCCACTGGCCTCCACAAACCAGGGGCCTCCACATTTCCTCATTTGATTTTTTTTTAATTTGTTAACACGTTCCCCGCGGATCCACGAGTCAGCTCGTGGGAACAATCAAAACGCATCCCTGCAGATCCACGAGTCAGCTCGTGGGAACAATCAAAACGCATCCCCGCGGATCCACAAATGATGGCTGCCCACGGGCCTCCACATGTCTAAATCGGGCCCTGCTATGCATGCATGGTTACACGTACGTACGTATGTACCTACGTTCATCCGCGCATACTCACGCATACCAACCTATGCACGCACACGCACACCCACACACACACACACACGCGCGCGCGCACGCACGCGCGCACGCATGCATTCAAACACACACGCACGCACACGCACAGTGACACATACCCATCTACGCACACACACCCACCCTCACTCCCACGCACCTACGCATGCACACCCGCATGCAAATGCACGCACACACGCACACACCCACCCTCACTCCCACGCACCTACCCACGGACAGCCCCGTACACGCACACACACACCCCCATCCTCGCTCCCACGCACCTACCCACGGACAACCCCGTACATGCACGCACAGAAGCACGTTTTGATGACCGATCGACTCACGTTTTTCAGCGAGGTGACGCACACCGCCAGCTGCGAGAGAAGCTTGGCAATGTCCTTCCTGGCGTGCACGAGCTTGTAGAACGACTCCGGCGTCCGCCCCACGTCTGCGAACGCCACGCCTCCCTGCTCCATCTTACTCGCGCGCTTAACACGGGGCGTGACGGCGTCGCTGGGTGTCGCCGCCTCCTCCGCCCCGCCCGCGCTCTCGCTCTCGCCGCTCTGACCATCGTCGAAGAACTTCAGTGCGGATTTTGTGGACACCTGCGCGGAACTGCCGATAGTCACTGCCGATTCCATGCCGATGCAATGCATCGTTGGAACCGCAGCATCTTAGATGGAGATTTTACAATCAGATATTTTTTTAAGAGGAATTAAACAGAGATTAAACGCAGACTGCAATTAAAACGGATATTATACAAAGATTAAGCGTTGTTTACACTAGGACTAGATAGAGCATATTACAACGATTTTCCCCACGCACAGACACGCACGCACACACATACACTCGCGCACACACATACACACACACAGGCGCACACGCAAGCACGCAGGCACAGACATGCCGCTACCTTCGCTCCGTACGTCTCCGACTCCCACACGCTGACGGACTTTGTGACGTTGACGATGAGATGGCAGACGCGGCTGAGGGCCTGCTGTATGTCCTCTAGAGTCGGCTGCAGCACGATGCTAGGGATGGCTAGCACCAGGTCAGCTCTGAACACGACGTGAGACTCGCTGCTCTCTGCCAACACGAAAGGTGATCGATGAATATTACTAACAAAACACTTACTACGTGAGACTCACTGCTCTCTGCCAACACGAAAGTTGATCGGTAAATACTAACAAAACACTTACGATGTCCAACGTCACAACATCTAGCACCGAGTGTCTGAAACCGAGTAATCTAGAGCAATCTCTGCAGCAACACGAGAGTTGATCGGTGAATACTAACAAAACACTTACGACGTCCAACGTCACAACAAAATCTGAGACCCAGTGTCCGCAGTAGCGGAACCGCAGCAGATTGGAGTTGGCAAACAGACCAAACAATGGTGGGTTTGTTATTATAATGGATCATGATTATTAATGGATTATAATTATGGATAATAAATATAATTATAACTAGAGCACTCGGAGAGCGCAGACCTCCGCCAAGGCAGCTGAACTCTCTCACTGTATTATTAATTAATTGGATCCGGATCACCAGCAAAATGTAATCAATTCTAAGTTACCCCATTTCTGACTTATCCTGACAATTTTATTAATTAATTAATTAATTAATTAATTAATTAATTAATTGGATCCGAATCACCACCAAAATGTAATCAATTCTAAGTTAGCCCATTTCTGACCTATCCTGAAAATTATATGAATTAATTGATTAATTAATTGGATCCGGATCACCACCAAAATCTAATCAGTTCTAAGTTAACCCATTTCTGACATATCCTGAAAATATTATGACAATCCGTTCATAACTTTTTGAGTTAGGCTGTACACAAAGAACGGTGTTACAAACCAACAAACGCACGCCGATGAAAACATAACCTCCTGCCAACCCCTTGGCGGAGGTAAACAGTTGTGGATTTCCTATAAATTATGTTCCTTATAGATATATTAAAATTTCTTTCTGAAACAACAACTGCGGAAGAGGCGTGGAATCTCACCGTTAATGTAGAGTTGCAATGCGGTGGCAATGAAGACCTTGCGGATGGTCTCTAATGGCGTCTGCACGGCGCAGGCAATCGCTTCCAGTGTTCGGGAGGAGAAGTGCTGGTAGAGGTCTCTCGCTGCCTCCCTCAGACTATCCATCGTGCAGCTGTGAGAGAGAAGCACAACGATGCACTCATCTGCTTTTAAAACGTGAAATAACGACGGGAATCCGAATATAATGGATTTACATGCTTTTTTTTCAGGTACAAAAATTATCTTCATCGTCGTACAGACTCGTTATTTTTTCTTCTTCCTTTCAGCCAGACTGTTTTTTTTTGCTCGTTTTTTTAAAACACGTCTCGGCCTCTCACTCGCCTTCTTTCTGAACAGTGCTCTCCTGGCACATGCCAACAATTACTGCACTGCGCCACTAAGTAGAGAAGAGCTTGTTACATACACACACAGCACAAACAGCTTTGTAGTGGACCCGATTGGCCATACCACAGGCTATATTGATGAGAAATAATAAGAATTACTGCAGTACTTGTTGTTAGCTATACCCTAGGTCCGTTCCTACACTATACCTAACAGCTAGTACTACAGTACTGGCGCTGCATTACCTTGGTTGTTTAGCTGACGCCCGCGTGGAAGCAGATAGGCGGCTGGACGTAGAAGCAGGTCGTGGATCGCGCACACCCCCGTCGCTAGCTGTAAGCGATGACGACGATATGCATTATATAGGGTGTAGTATAGTATATTATGTATTATTTGTGTATGATCTTTATGATTTATGGTTTTTGTGTGATATTTATATAGGATTTATGAAGATTTATGAGCTTCCTCGAGAGCTTACACGAGAGGCTGCGACTCCTCTCGCGCGATCACCGTCTTACCATAAAACGAGCCGCCAAACGAACAAAGACGATACAACGTATACGAGACATGGTACGATAGAAAATGAAACGTAATGAGAATGCTGTACAGGAATAGCCGACTTACATCTGTACCGGCCCAGCTCTGTGGGCGGCTCCGAAGTGGGCAGAGGATTGTTGTCCTGATCGGGCAACAGTAGCGAAATCAGCTCCTTTACAGCATTCTTCACCGCCTGGCTTCGTACCTCTAGCAGCTGACTTCCTCTAGCACAGAGTTCCTGCAATAAAAAACCCCGATAAAATTTAGAGTCCCCCGCATAGGTATCGCTGGATAGCGATAGTTAAATCGGTGGATAGAGGGGCAGAGGGACGGATGGCTAGATGAATGGAAAGATTGATGAACAGCGTATTAAGTGACAGAGGACAGCTAGTTAGACAGACACAAATAGATGTTCGGACAGAACGAGACTGGATGATAGAAAGACTTGGGACTGGGTCAACAAATACATAGACTACCACCCAGGTCCTTGTCAGACGACCCATGACACGTCTTTACCTGTGTAGGCGCGACCCACGACACGTCTTTACCTGTGTACGCACGACCCACGACACGTCTTTACCTGTGTACGCACGACCCACGACACGTCTTTACCTGTGTACGCGCGACCCATGACACGTCTTTACCTGTGTACGCACGACACGTCTTTACCTGTGTACGCGCGACCCACGACACGTCT